CATAACTTCTATAAATCCGATAGAAAAACTTATTCCTAATTAAGCTAATAATCATTCAGAAATGTTATTCCGACGTCAATAATTGTGCTGAATCACCGAAATAGATGAAATTGAACTGAGAAATTCTACTTGAGTTCATACGCTGGGTGTTCTATTTTAAGTGAATCATTTCGTCGTAATGGACTATTCATGATCGTTCGTTTGATTCTCTATACCAGTGAATTTCAATCTGTATGTGGTATAGAACAGTTATCGTTCTCAGACAATGGATGAGGGTTGTGAAGCATCGTGAATTGGTTGAAGTTAGACAGTAACATCTTTGGGTGTTGGCTCACTGTGTATTGGTTTTGGATTTGAACGTGAGACTCAATGTCGTAGGTTCTGTTCTCATAGGTGAGGTCGTTGATGCACACTGCTGAGGAAGCACATACTTGAAGGAATCGGCTTTCCAGTGCATCCACGTCTTCAGTGGTTTTCCTGATATGACCGGTTCGTCATTTCAAAATTTGGAAACTCTATTCTCCACAGTTTGGTGCATTAAGATTTGACTGTTGAATGATTGCATAAAACGACACAAATCACACCGTAACTCTTCATCTTGTTTTCATCAGTTGTAAATTGGTGGTGGGATCAATGTTTTGTACATGGATAAGTGTTCATTCTCATTCTTCCTTTTTTTCTTACATGAAATCACATAGGTCATGTTTCGTTGTAAAGATTAGCACGTATCAGTTTGTCCTCAGTCACTATAGACGACAATTTTATCAGAAGTGATTGTATTACATCAAAATACGATAATAATTTGAAGTCATTTGTTAGCATAACTAAATGCTATCAGTACAGAGAGATTTGTGGCGATTACAGGATTTCTATAGTTCAAATTACGAACTGATCGTAACTAGGAAAGCATTGAAGATCCGAGAGCACTGAGCGGACGTCTATTGCTAGTGAAGAACTCGACCAACTACCCTGGGATTAAACATGTGTTTTCAATGAGTGAGAATATCATGACTGATGACCATAGATTACTGCTGCGCTCTCTGAAGGATGGGCTATAGTTTCACGTTTCAATCATTGCACATCAACTAATTGATCTGTCACTGGAGTACCGGTCTGGAGATCTGCAGATTGTGATTGCGATTCATAGTGAGGTGATTGCTGTCTTCAGGTTCCAAGGTAGGAAGGAAGATGTTCTCATCTTCTTTTACCAAAGCAGTAAGTTAATTGCCAAACTCGTAAACACACAATAGGCAAGTTTACCTTACAAACGGAATATACATGCGCCGTTTTCAATGAAAACAATAACAAAATATATTTAAGAGAACTATAAACCTTCTAAACCAAAACATATGAACAGTAGGTGTCAAATAGTATGTTGATCATGGCTTCATAATCTCTTGTTGTTTATTCCTTCACTTGTTCACAATCAGTACCCTTGAAAATCTGAAGTGTAAGTGTGTAATGATGGCCAAAAGGGTTTGTGGAGATTTTAGAAATTTCACTAATTGAATCAGGACTAAATTGAAGCTAGACCTATCATACTCGAGCCAGGAGCCTAACCAACTAGACCACTGAGCATGGGTTCGAATCTCGTGGGATGCGGGATCGTGGATGCGCACTGCTGAGGAGTCTCATACTAGGACGAAACGGCCATCCAGTGAAACTTCCACCTTTTCCATGGTGGTCTAGCTTCAATCGACTAATGATTTCATTCTGTGATAATGGCCAAAATCAAGAAATTAAATATGCTTTAGAAATTTTGTTTAAGAAGTATTCTTTTATTGTACGTATTCAAAGGTTAGACGATTCTGTAATGAAATGGAATTAGTCAATTTTTGTGATCTCATTAAAGTTTTCTAATGTTCAAGTTGATCTTTATAAAATATTCCAAATGTAATAAGTGTGTACTTTAGATTTCTGTTAGAAAGTGGGAATGTGACTGGTCACTAATAATAATAGTCGTCATACTTACTTACTAACTTACGTCTGTTACTCCTCGTCAAGGAGCATAGGCCTCTCACCAGCCTTTTGTTTACGCCCTCCTGCTTTCGTACAAATTTACAGCCGCTGAATCAAGTGAAAGATCCCTGGAATTCTTGGAGAGAATGAAGTTGGTGTAACGTTCATAGTCACTAGTACACTGACCTTTGTGGTACCATCAAATGTTTATAGGTCGGCCTTGAATACGTCTTCGTATTTCTTGAACCAGTGAATAGTTCGACTGTATCTAGTGAGAGTGGATCTATCACATTGAGGTGTTTTGTCACTGAATAAAATGGTTTTAAAGAAAAAAACAGATGTGTGGTATGTGTGGTGTAGAAGAGCATTAGGTTGGATTTGTACACAGAGTTACGTATTCTAATAGTTACACATATATTTAGTTGAGAGATTCCACGTACATTACCTACATTTCAGAATAAGCTTATTCTACTTGTTAATTAGTAGAAAAATGCAACCTCACATAAACCGTTTTGGCACCTCAAAAATACTATTTTGTCCAGGAATCACCACAAACATAATCCGAATCCAATGAAAAATCTGGACCAGGTAAAGATCGCAAATAGTTTTAGTCTACTGAAATCACTGATGAATTATTCACTTTGAAATACTGATATGTTCATTTTGTTATGGTAAGTGTTATCAAACACCATGCATACTAGTGGATGGGATAAACTCTTGTTTGACAGAAGGACTCATTTATACACGATCTGAATGACATAAAATGATAGACCGTGGCTACTTTCATTTGCATCTACTTGTTCAATTGATTTCTTTGACTAGATTCAGTGTAACGTTGCATATCAGGTTAGTTTACAATCATGATCATGGGTAACATATCCGTTGAAAATTGGCAGCAAAACAATTAAACAATAAGGATATTAACCAACCACTCTATTTCTGCTCATAGAATTTCCTCTAAACAATAATAAACTATCAGTGAATGGTTTTGTGGAGGACGTAGAATTTTCATACACTTTATATCAATAAAAGATCTTGGAGAAATCCAGTTGATCACATCACCTATGATAACAGTTGGAATTGAATAATATTGGTCAACCGTGAACACATGAAGAGACTTTCAAATTTCACAATTCGTCAACTGAAACCGAACAATACGTCTTTGAATAGATTTGATAGGACGTACAGCACTCCATCATAATTACAGTACGTTCATGCATGTGAGAAAACCACATTGCATTTTACCTAACCACCATACTACTAACACGACAATCAGTAGCATGAAAGTTTGAGAGAATGTTTATGCAACGAAATAGAGTGATGCGAGTTACAAAATACACATGTAATTTGATGTGTTGGTGTTTGTCGCTTGAAAACATGTTAGCACTTGCAAATAAGAATCAAACGAACGAATTCACGATCCCATTCATTATATGATAATTCGAATTTGCACAAAACATAGCATAATCATGATTGAACAGAAATTCTGATTGATTCCCATTCAACTATGAATTGTGAATGATAAAATAAAGCGAAATTCATGATTAATGCTTATGTGATCCACTCAAGTTGATGAATTTGAGTGGTTAGAGAAATGTGCAGTGGTACACATATAATACGTGATTGACAGAAGTCTTATAGCCTTCAAGTACCAGACGAATATAGCACCAAAAAGCATTGATCAATGAATAAGTATGAATCCTTTCTGTTAGAGAGTAGTTGTGTTTCGAGTAACATAATAGCCCATGTTGCAAATGTGAATGATCTGATTTTGGATCACATGACGAGTAATAGCTCCTTCAAGATCGTTATCACACTTTATAGAATTGTGTCGAATACGATAAAACCTGAGTTTTGAGCATTTGAGCAACAGCCATCGAATATAGAACAACGCTAAAATGAATTCAGGTATCACCAATTTAGCATCAAAAATAAACATAAATCGGAATCCGCATCCTAGTCAAGTACACAACATACATAGAACGTAATAACCAGTCTAGTCTGGATGAATCATGATTATGCACAACAGTTACATAGGTCGATAAACTAAGGACATGAAAACAAGGAGGTTCTTTGTGAAAACGATCATTCAACTGAATTAGAATTAGATGGCTAATGGTTATTATTTTTCACGCATAGCTGAAGCCAAAATGTCTATTGAACTAACACTGCCAAAGTATTTGTTTTCATCAAATTTGATTCTTATTTTTAACTACAAAAGTGCTAATGACATTCATATTGATTCCGTTTGCGTGGGTGATTAATGGTCACGTAAACAGAGGCGCATAATTAGAAAGAAGAAGAAGAAGAATAAGCGGAAGAAGAAGAAGTAGTTACGTATCACTATCGCTCTGATTACCACTCATTATCATTAAAATTTATGTCCTCTGTTCACTTTCTTCATTCAGTGAATCCGAGATCAGATACTGATATCCGATGTACTAAGCACTGAAACTCCAACTGACAACACAGGAGTGGTGTGTGTGAGAAAGTGAATTTGGTTGCTGAATGAAATACGCAAATACTCTTTCAGGTATTCAACACACTAATTCTCAGTAAACGCATACATTTCTTACCCAATCAAATGCACTTGTCCTTCAGCTCATTCTTGATTGTCATCGATATAACTTCTCACTACACTACTTCTCATTGACTCTCCACATCAGGTCGATTGATCTTCAGTGAGAAACACAAATTATTGCGTGAATGTGAATATCTATCTCTTACAGTATTAGATCTGATTGAAAAGCTCATGATTCATTGTGTCAATGTAAAAATGACAGATTGATTCACATTTGAGAACTAGATATCTTACAGTCATTTTGAAGGATACATCTTCCTTTCATTGACATCACGTTCACTTCAATGTGTTCATTATGACTTGATGTAAACAGATGTGATCACATAATGAGTTGGTATATACAATGTCGAATGCAACAATAACATGTTTATTAATTGTTCTTCATATTCTGTGTAACGATGATGTTCATTTGGTAGATGAAACAGGTCAAGTAACTTATCTGATATATCCAAATGGGAAGATGTCTATTTACTTTGAGAATGTAAGTTTCACTATTGAATGGTGATGTAATCTAATGGTGTCTCATTTACTTGAGTACAATAGAGTGTTTGATAATGTGACATAATCTCTAGCTACTGTCAAATTTGTCTCTAACTTACTATGATTGTGATGTAATTCGTTTCACGGTCGAGATATATGTACTTCAGTTTATTAATAAGAACATTCATGAAATTACCAATTATGTGATCAATGTCATTGTGAATTTACATTTCAATTTATGGATAATCATTTCATCTCACTGAGTACTTGCAATACATTCGTAACGAACATTACATAATATGAAATACATATGTACATGTAAGGAGACAGCTTACTGAATGTTTTTTTAACTGGTTTACTTTATCAAATCCACAGCTACTTCTTTTTACTAGAGAATGGACTACTTAGTTACCTACTTACGCCTGTTACTGCCAATGGAGGATAGGCCGCTGACCAGCATTCTCCAACCCACTCTGTCCTGGGCCTTCCCTTCTAGTTCCATCCAATTCTTGTTCATTTTTCTCATATCTGTCTCGGCGTAATGTGTTCTTTGGTCTTCCTCTTTTCCTTTGGCCTTGAGGATTACAAGTGATGAGGACTTGTCTTGTAATGCAGTTGTGTGCTTTCCTCAATGTGTGTCCTATCCACTTCCAGTGCTTCTTCCTGATTTCTTCCTCCACTGGTTTGTTCTCTCCCATAATAGTTTGTTGATAATAGTGCAGTGTCTGGTCAACGGATCCAAAGTATTTTGCATAGACAACTGTCAACGAACACTTGTATGTTGTGGATGATGGTTTTCGTAGTTCTCGAAGTTTCCGCCTCCTACGATAGCACTGTGTTGACATTTGTATTGAAAATTCTAACTTTAGTGTTGATTGAAAGACAGTTGTTTTGAGTTCCAGATATTCTTCAATTTTGATATATACTGTTTTTGCTATGCCATTCCTCGCATTCACATCTGCATCAGATCCACCATGTTCATCAATGATGCTGCCCAAATATGTCAAGGTTTTTACATCTTCCAAATCTTCTCCAGAATGGATAGTCTATCATCAAAAAAACCATTTTATGTTGATTACACACTGTGTTATTCGACAAAGGCAATATTTTGTTTATTGTCAAGATCCTTTCTAAAGTGAAATAAAACACCTTCATTGTATTAAGAATTACTATTCACAAATATCATCCAAGCATAAATATTATTTACTTCTTCCTCTTTAATATCTATTCATTTGTGATAGTCTAAAAATGTTATTCATTCACCACAGTGTTAACTCATTACATTTAGCTTGATATAGATATATCTATTACATACTCCTATTACTGTGATTTAATCGTATTATTCAACACAGATGACAGTTACTATGGGCTATAACGAGGTTTTGAAATAATTCAAGGGAATACATTTCAATAGAAACCAGTTTACTTCTTATAAGCAAAGATGGATAGTGAGTAGATACAAGTCAAACAATACCAAATGAATTTTAAATTCATCCCATTGCACAAGCGAGTGACTATCAGGACCCAATAACTGAGTGGATAACGCAATGACGTTTGAAGCGAATGATACTGAGTTCAAGTCTCAGAGTGAACATCAACTCTGTGAGATGCAGGTACATCCAGCTGACGAGTGCCAAATAGGACGAAGTGACAAGCGTACTGGATTCCACTGCTATCCACTATCCATCTTTGCTTACAAAAGAAGCTTGTGAATTAAGGCAATATCGAGACACACACACAGTATGCACATATGCCAATAACAGACTGATCAATTGCAGTCTTAAACCTCAATGGGAAGATACAAACAAAACAATATCAAGCTCGTCAGTTTACCTCTTTTGCATTCAAACATTTTCTTAGCTTTCTAGTACAATTATCACTAATGTAATTACAAATCTGTGTAGTTTTCCGAAAAAATCCCTTACCATTCTTTCTACTTTACTTTCAATGATGTTTATAGTTTTTCTTTTATCACAATCACTGACGAATTTAATCTACGTAACTAAACTAATTCAGAAAGGAATTTTGTAAAGACTATAATAATTTAATAGTTGAATTCATGAATCAACTAAAGCTAGACTACTATGGAAAACCTGGAAGCACTAGACGACCGTTATGTCCGAATATAGGACTCATCAGCAGTGTGCATCCAGGATTCCGTCAGCGAGATTTGAATTCAGGACCTTCAGTCTCATTAGCGAATGCTCAACCTCTAAACCACTGATCCTGCAATCAACAGTGTTAATCTCTGACATCAACCAATCCGCGCAATTCTGCCACAGTTCATCATTGTCTTCAGTAAGTTTCTATCTCACAACTGACACGATTGAACTTAACTGGTCACAGTTTCTTACTCAAACTCCAGGAAACACGTCTTGAACCCAGTCACTAATGAGCATATAATGATTATGATCAGAAAGGCGTTTTGTAGAGACGATAGTATGTGTGATCATTAGACAAATTGTCATTCCACTTTTTATGTCTATATCTTTTAACAGACATTAACACTGTCATATGATGGTTGAATAGAATAATGATGACTTTATTCTCAAGTTACAATCTTAATATTAAACACGGATAGAACCGTTTGATACCACTTTGTCATGAAAATAAAATTCAAATATAAAAATGCCAATTTCAATAACCAATCAAAATAGTTTATGCCATATTGATTCTAACCAATCAGATTACAAGAGTTAACCAAATATTAATGCCAATCAAATGTTTATTATTGTAGAACACATGAACACATATTTTATTTCTATCCAATAATATTCCATCAATAGAGGTAAGAAATTTCAACCACCCTGTGAATAATTGTCAGCACACATCTTTAATAGTAGGTAGAATAATATTGAACAATGATGACGTTCATCTTGCACAATTATCGATTCACAATAAACACATAAATATGTGACACATGATCTTTTTTATTGGTTGTTTTGAATCATCAAATCATACAGTAATAAGTGAACTCAAAAAAAGTCTATATAAACCTGTGAAATCATTTCAATATCATTCTACTGTCTTAAACAAGAAGAAGATGAAGTAAGTGTCAAGTGAAACGATTCAATAAATGAATGAAGTATATTCATTCCAATTTGATGACACTCATCTATAATGTTATGTTCATTTTCAATGTTACAGATTTACTCTTCCATCTTGTTTGTTGGTCATTGTACTCACCAAGCTATTCGATTGTCAGAACACTTGTGAACGTATAAAAGATGTTAAATATGAAAAGATAATTTCTCAAAATACTTCATACAGTTATGTAAGTAATCAATTAGATGTTAATTTCACATATATACACAGTCTGATCATTATGAATATTTTCAAAGAATTCATCTTGATCAACCCAATCCTATTGAAAGTGAAACTTTTGTCAAGAGTAAAATCTCTTCTGAAGTAAGTTGATACCATTTTGTAATAGATGGTACTAACACGAATGTGTGTGTGTGTACACTTTTAGATGGTTAAACCTAAATTCGAGTTTAAATATTACGGTAAAATAGTCAATGGATTGACAATGACTGATTCTGGTAAGAGAATAATTTTCTTGATACTAAGTTCTGTTAATCACATTGAATGATATTTCTTAAACTCACAATGGAATGAGACTATGCATTATGGACAACCTTTGAGCAACAATAAAGTAATGTTGATGGCATCCACCGATTGACTACTACTTAATGAGGGTTATAGATTAGTTTGAGGAATTAAGATGAAGATTTACTGATGATGGTTAGTGGTAGGAATTGTATTGTAAATGTTCGTCACGAACTGACAAATCTGTTCATTCATTCACTGTTAATCATCATTCCAAATTGTATGTTGTAATGGCTTTGCATCGTTTGTAACCGTTATGTTGTGATAGAAATCTCAATGTTATGTGAAATCAGAAGACAATAAGAAGTGGCAACTACAGTTTATTAGAGGATAGATAGCCCAGTTAACAAAGCACTTCGAGCGAATTTGATGGAGTAAGAAGATTGTGTGTGTGTGTGTGTGCGAGCAAATACAAAAGCGAATTATTTATGGTCAAACTGAATAAGCTGCGGCTAGTCAAAGCAAAGGTTAATAATAGGATTCGTGTATCATGTTATACACGAGGAAGAGAATGATCTATAATCGATATTTAAGCGATCAACATTTAAGCCAGAGTCTGTCTTGTGACCAAAGTACATGTTGATACAGATATGGTAGTGATGATAATAGTACAGAGAAATATACGAATCGTTCCTGTTCGAATCACATTGTCTGTCAACTAACTTAACAAAAAGGGTTTAATCTAAATGTAACCATAATCGAAATTAACTGTAAATGGGTTGTTGTTCTTATTATCCATCCATTTAATAAATACAGGTTTAATGGTAAATTTCGGAGACAAATTAATGGGAAAAATTAAAATCTTTGATGAGATCACCTTTGAAGACACACCTGAGATTCTGAATGAAAGTGAGTCGTTCTATTATTGAATAAACATACTTTTCTCTTTCACATTTTTCACTATTTAACTTGATTGTACGCAATGATTGTATTGGTTTGTGTGTTTCACTGCTCGAACATTTCTTCACAATATGTAGTCATTACTGTCAGGTACAAATGTAAAATAAGACGAGCATTCACTTCCAAATAAACACAAATTGATTGATGAGAAATAACTCAAAGTTACCATTACGTAGGTTCCAGTCTATCTGAACTATAGTACAAAAGATATTACAATAGCTCGATAAATCTCAGTAGATTCAATGAACCTAACTGACCACATGCACAAAAATAAGTGAATTCCTGCGTTATGACAGATTGTCTTATTGAGACATATGAACTACTAAAATGTATTTGATGTCCTGCATCTCTTTTCTGGCACTTACTTGATCCATAAAGGTTTAATGTCGCTTAGTTGTTGTCTGCAGACCATAGGATATTCCACACTTTCTTAATTATCATATGTGTATGATTATAAAATTTGAACGCATGCCTTTCCCTGATATAGTGAATCCAACGAACGACCATGAATAGTCCATTACGACGAAATGATTTACTTAAAATAGAACACCCAGCGTATGAACTCAAGTAGAATTTCTCAGTTCAATTTCATCTATTTCGGTGATTCAGCACAATTATTGACGTCGGAATAACATTTCTGAATGATTATTAGCTTAATTAGGAATAAGTTTTTCTATCGGATTTATAGAAGTTATGATGGTTTCACGCAACTGTTGCTGGTGGAAAGACTTGTGAAGTCCATGAATTAGTCTAAAGTTCCTAGAACCAACGTTATAAGAGTAAAATATTCTTCTCAGTTGTTTGAATTGAAAATGTTCATCATAATTAACAATCCTTGAAATCGCATCATTAGATTGATTGATCATTCAACTGCATCCATTTACTCAAATTCTAGAGGGAAGATCATGACATATGTTCAAACTCATTCTATGTTACAATGTATGTTTATTATTAAAAGAGATAGATATTCAATATACATATCCGTAAATACTCATTTAATATTCATTTTATCAGACGAATTATTCGCTGTCAAATGGTCTCTTCAAAAGAATGCAAATTCTGGTGGTAAGTGAAATCAATTGCAAAGAATCATTTTCATTGACAAACTCAAATAGAACTTGATGAGAGGAATGTTATGGGTAGGGATCTGAGAGCAGAGATTGATACATGATGAGCGACAACACAGAAGTGATGTGTGTAAGAAAGTGAATTCGGCTGCTGAATAAGATGCACAAATACTCTTTCATGTATTCAACACACTAATTCTCAGTAAACGCATACATTTCTTACCTAATCAAATGCACTTGTCCTTCAGCTCATTCTTGATTGTCATCGATATAACTTCTCACTACACTACTTCTCATTGACTCTCCACATCAGGTCGATTGATCTTCAGTGAGAAACAGAAATTATTGCGTGAATGTGAATATCTATCTCTTACAGTATTAGATCTGATTGAAAAGCTCATGATTCATTGTTTCAATGTAAAAATGACAGATTGATTCACATTTGAGAACTAGATATCTTACAGTCATTCTGAAGGATACATCTTCCTTTCATTGACATCACGTTCACTTCAATGTGTTCATTATGACTTGATGTAAACAGATGTGATCACATAATGAGTTGGTATATACAATGTCGAATGCAACAATAACATGTTTATTAATTGTTCTTCATATTCTGTGTAACGATGATGTTCATTTAGTAGATGAAACAGGTCAAGTAACTTATCTGATATATCCGAATGGGAAGTTGTCTATTTACTTTGAGAATGTAAGTTTCACTATTGAATGGTGATGTAATGTTATTTCGTTGTGCTGTCTCATTTACTTGAGTTATGTCGATTGTGTCTAGATACACTAAACACATGGAAAGCAGAACAAGATTTTATATTGTGTAGACAGGTTGCATGACATTATAACTTAAACTTTAATGAGGCATTTTATTCTGACATCATTTGTGAACGAGGTTTTGTGTAGATTTCAGGAATTTCACTGATTGAAATCATGAGTCAATTGAAGCTAGACAACCATGGAAAACCTGGAAGCACTGGACGGCCGTTTCGTCGTAGTGCAGGACTCCTCAGCAGTGCGCACACACGATCCGGCAACCCACGATATTCTTACCCACGACTTTTCGGTCTCACACCAGGCGCTTAATCAACTAGACTACTGAGTCGGCCGGGATCCAATGGCGTTAATGTCTAACTTCAGCCAATCCACGAAGTTGCCCCACCGTACACCATTGTCTTCAGTCAGTTGATATCTATCTCACAACAGACCTGGTTGAACTCCACTGGAAACGGCTTCTCACTGGAACTGCAGGAAATGCCTCTTGAAGTCAGTCACTAGTGAACAGATGATTATTATCAGAAGTAGTTTTGTGTAGATTTTAGAAATTTCACTGATTGAAATCATGAGTGAATTGATGAAATTGTTGATCAGTTCGGAGTGTGTATTTATTTCCATGACATCGTTTGATGTTTCACCTATTTTGAATACAACTGTTGTTGATTCACTATTATATGGTTCTATGAAAGAACAGATGACATGTTTTAAACTCAATTTGTTTTAAATGATAAGAAGTAATCTGGAAATATTAGTAGTTACTGTCCATGGAGTTATTGAAAATCGTATCTCTATATAGCTGGAAAGATTTGGTGAAATATCCTCGAAAAGAAACTGATGATACTAGTTTGCCTAATTTGAATGTGATTAATTGTCTTTGAATATGATGACCTGAATGATGACACACTACTGAAATGATTAGTTGCTTTTGATGTATGTGTTTGTGTGTTTAACAGATCTTGATTCATATTTCCTATGGTTGTTTTCAGATATCCAAGGAAATTGATGAAAGCAATTTACAGTCGTGGATTGATTATCAATACCATTGTATAGATGATACAACGAACAGTAAGAAACATTTTACCGTTATCTTTCTGAATGTTTCAATGTACAGTGATGTACATCGGCAATCATCTGTTATCATTATATTACATTCTGAACCAACGTGATTATTATGTTGATACTTCTTGAACCAATATTCAATTGTTCTACGTAATAAAAGAATCACAGTGTAAGTCACTGATGAAGTTGCTCGATGTTTCAGACGACATCTACTGAATATTGAAGAACTGTGATTAGCTATATATAAACTAATCTGTAACTCTCCATGTTGACTAGCTGTAATCCGAAATGTGATATAACTTGTTAGGAAACAAACATATTCTCCTTCGGGATGTTGAACTACCTCCACTTCATTCAAACTCAACGATGTTTCTTATTTTGTTCACAAGTTAAATGATACACACCACTTGTTATAATTTCAATAGAAATCGTAAATTGAAGTGTTTGTTCTTTTGTTCAATCAGAGTCTATGTTCGAATCGTACAATCGAATTAACGTTCCAGTAAACTTGATCAAACATCGTACTTTGGTGGAGTTTGAACCGAATACAGGTATGTAATAAGTGATTTGATCAGTATTGACCATTGTCACATTTGAACACCTTAAGTTGATTACTTCAAAATGAAGAATTCCAAGTGAGATTTTAGTCCGTTATTCAGACATCTATCTCAACGTACGTTCTGTTCACTATGAATGACTTCTTCTAGATTCGTTGTTGAATATTCAACATGATAGATCAAACGTGATTGATATTTTAGTCTTCGTTTTGTTCAATAATACGCAATCACAGTGTCACAAAAACGACGCATAAAATGATACAATTGGTGAATAAAATTTATCGACAGTTAATTGAGGATGCATTGACAAGGGAGTGTGCCATAGTTCATTCATTTAGTGCATGTGATATCGAATTTTCCTCAAGTAATGAAATTGTAGAAACATTTTATATGATTGTCATTACCTTGTATTAGCAGGACATACATTGGATTAAAGCATGGTCAATGTACGAGTGCTTTGGCGCATGCTGATTGGCTAATTCTTATTTAATCAGCACTAATCGATACTTGGAGAACATTCTAGAATCTCCTCAATGTAAAAACTATAAATATACACAAACGTTTTTCCTATTGCGCTTCTTCTTCTTCTTCTTCTTCTTCTTCTTCTTCTTCTTAATTCCATCTAACCTTGTTATTTGGAATATAATCGGTTTTCCTGTTCAACCATGTTCTGATTTGGGGACTTGTCGAGTGAATTGATGTCGGAGAATATTCAGTAGTTTATAGATACATTTCTTTAAGGTTTCTTTTATTCAATCACTTGTAATACAATCATCATGTTCTTTTGTTTTATAGAAACGTGTTACATTAAAGATTCAGAAGAAACATGTCTATCTGCATCTAAACCGAATATGACATGTTATTGGTGTTCAAAAGCTAATACATGTACCAATGGTAATGATACACATATTGATCGTTGGATGGAAAAAGATTGTCATGCCACTGTGAGTAACCATGAAACTTAACAACGTTTCCTTTCTTTTTTGATTGTGATCATGAACCAATTGATTTTAGACCACCATTGACAATCTGGAAGCAATGGAAGGCCATTTCGCTCTACTGTGGGACTCCTCAACAGCGCGCATCCACAATCTTGCTCGCGGGATTCAAACTCGGATCCTCCAGTCTTGTGCACAAACGCTCAATCTACTAGACCACTGGATCGGTATACAACGGCGTTAATGTGTAACCTCAATGAATTCACGAAATTGCGCGACCACCTTCGATTGTACTGAGGTAGACACCTGTTTCTACTTTGTGGATTGTTTGAGGTTACACATTAACACCATTAGATGTCGGCTCAGTGGTCCATTAGGTTAGGGGTTTGCGCGTGAGACTGCAAGCGTTGGGTTCAAATCTCGCGAGGTGCGGGATTGTGGGTGCGCACTGTTGATGAATCGCACAATAGAAGGAAACGACCATCCATTGCTTCCAGCTTTTCAATAGTGGTCTAACATCAATCGGTTCATGATCCCAGTCAAAAACTTGACAATGTCCACAACCTCTAAACTGATATATATGTATATACGTTGTTTTGTTTATTTCATTTCAGAAATCATCTGCTTACTTATATGCATTGATACCATTAGTTATATGTTTCCTGATTGTATGTGTTGGATTTGTCATATGGTTTAAATTATCTAAAGGAAAGTAAATGTAATTTATGTTCTACAGAAACATTTTCACATATGAATAGAACTATATTTTGTAGTTCATTTCAGTAGTTTAGATATTAGTTTATGCACTTTTCTATGATCAATTATGTAATCAATTATGTAATGTTTTTTGCTGTTTTGTTTTGTTCGCTCTGTTTTGTTTTAATCAAATATTAAACATGGTTTTCATTATATATGTGATTGTTTTCATTTGATCCAAAGTAATTTGTGTTACACCGTTGGATATAGGTCGGCTCAGCGGTCTAGTAGGTTGAGTATTTTGTGCACAAGGCTGAAGGTCGTAGGTTCAAATTCCGCGAACAAGATTGTGGATGAGCACTGTTGACGAGTCACACAATAGGAGGAAATAGTCGTTCATTGTTTCCAGTTTCTCAATAGTGGTCTAACATCAATCAGTTCACGATCCCAGTCAATAACTTAATAATATCCACAACCATATACTGATAATTACCATGTGCTCACTGATGATTAGCTTCTTGAGGGAGTTCTCACAGTTTTAGCGAAAAGCCGTGACCAGTGAAGCTATTCTGTGTCGAGTAGATTCAGGTATCTATCTCAGTACAATAGAAGGTGGTCGCTCAATTTCGTGAAATGATTGAGGTTACACATTAACACCGTTGTATACCGACTCAGTGCTCAAGCAGGTTGAGCGCTTGTGCGCAAGGCTGAAGGCCCTGAGTTAGAATCCCGCGTTGTGTCGGGTTGTGGATGTGCACTGATGAGGAGTCGCACAATAGAAGGAAACGGCCATCCATTGCTTCCAGTTTCTCAAGAGTGGTCTAACATCAATCGTTTCATGATCCCAGTCAATAACTTAATAATCTTCATAACACTATACCGATGATTTTAAGGAAGTTTCACTACAGAATAATATCATTTGATATTTACGATGATCATTAATTGAAACTCAGTTGTTGGGACACCATACTAATATGTAATTAAACACATCCCTTCTTCGTTATTGTTTGCTTATTGAAAGCTCAATGACAAATTACAGTTAATACAGTATTATGAATACGGATTGTGAAAAGAACTTTAGATAGCTAAGCCAATACTCAAGCAGAACTGTGAAAAAGTGTAGGTTGAATAAAGTAGTAATAGTCCGATAACGTTCTAATGATTGCGAATTCTTGTGTTCTCATTTCCTCAATTGTATTCAAAAAGGTATAAAACGTATATTAAGATCTGCTTTCTATTAAAAAGACTGATTCGTTTGTTTGTTTCTTTATAACTGATGAAGAATCAGCGTTGTAATTGACATCGTTTGTTGAGGAGTAGCAACATTAATCGGACAGACATGTAGAACATGCGAAGTGCAATTCAGTCTACTTTGATGAAAGTGCTGATATGCACTAACTAATCACATAGTAGTATGCAATATCATGTTTTTCTGGCTCTCAGTGCTGACTAAACTTCATCTATCGAGTTGAAAATGAAGCGTGGTAGTACAGGTGTTCAGTTGTGGAACGAGTATTTCAGTGATAAGTTGCCAAACTGTGAAATTGTATGACACGATTTCTCATCAAACAGTAAACATCAACACTCTTGATATTCTAGTTATCTCTTAAAGAGAAGTGTCAACCAGCATGAAACTTGTGTTCAAACGTTGCTGTCATCCAACATTAACTACTTAACATATACTAAGTAATTGCAGGATGATCTCATTACACGCTATCACTAAATTACATGTTCTCATTATGTTTCATATACATAGTGCCTAGTGGAACGCAAATTTCTGTGTTATTCATTACAGTAACAGTTGCAGACATTAATAATTTCTTTGATTCGTTTAACTACTGTTGTCTAGTAGTTTAATGATGAATATTGGGATGATAGAGAGCATATGTTTCCTAACATATGCCGTAAACGTAAATATTTCGCTTGCACCCTTTGAGCATTGACAGTAATGAAAAGCTAAACACAGAATAAGTTGGATGAATACATGTTGACTACTTCACTCCCTATCCTTAGTTCACGTGTTGATGCAGACCAGTCCTGAAGCAACAATTTGCATATAGATGTGAAGAAGCTCATCCAAAACATCCTGACACTGTTGTTCAGTGCTATGAAATGGTCTGCATTTTATCAACATCTTCACCAACCTGACTATATCATCTGTGTATTCTCATTCAATAAGTGGGAACCCTGGTGGAAGATTGTTTCTTGAATGTGCAGTAGACGAAAACCTCATTTCCTGTAGTAAGTCTTTGATGGAATTAGACAGAAATGGAGATATTAGGAAGCGTGATCGGACACCACCTGAGTTTGTGAAATCATATGGCAGTTTGACATAAGCTCTGACTCGACTGTTGGTGTTCGAAATACTAGAAGAACATGATAGCCAGCATGTTCTAGCATGAGACCTCTCAACAATGAACACTCACAGTAGTCTTACACATTAAGTTAATTCGTCCAATTTTGTCACAATCAAAGCATTCAACAACATGATGAGGAAATGATTTCTAAAAATCCAATTTCCCAAGTCAGTGCTCACCCAAATATTCATCTCTGAAACAGTTTTTATGATTCAATGTGTATCTACATTTACTAGCTGATGAGATAACACGATGTTTGCAGTAAATGGTACTGATTTTGAGTCTCAGAGTGAACACCAACTCTGTGATGCAAGTACACCAACCTGGTGAGTTTCAAATGGGATGAAGTGATATTCCACTGCTAGCCACCACCCGTTTCTGCTTCTGTTGCTTATAACTTAAAATAATATCCAATCAACCTGTAGAGGATGCACATTTACGATAAAAAGGCAACACAACATTCCTGAGATTCTTTTCCTCTGGTTTGTTGGTTCTCATGCAGTTACATGTGTGGTTATTGGAGTGATTTACTAGCCATTGTGTTTCTATTATGTCTGGAATCAGAAATTCTAGTCGTGCATAGTCTGGGAGTTATAATGTCTCATCCGTCTCTGTATTCCTCTTTGAAACTGTAATCTTACAGCTGGCGAGGTGGTGTATGCGCACTGCTGAGGAATTCCACAATAGGACGAAACGACCGTCCAGTGCTTCCAGGTTTTCCATGATTTTCTAGCTTCAACTGACTCATGATCTTAACCATTGAAATTACTACAATCTCGACAAAACCCATCTGATATTAAAAATGTTGAGTTAAGAATTTTTATGTCAATTTCTATCTATTGACCTTCGTTGTTAATAGAAAGCTATCACTGATTATACATTATTGTTAGCTATCACAACACATTCTTTTCTAATTAACCATATAAGGTGAACTATATTCAATTGTGGTGTGAGCACAATATTCTTCTTCTTCTTCCGCTTCTTCTTCTGCTTTCTAATTATGCGCCTTTCTTTACGTGACCATTAATCACCCACGCAAACGGAATCAATATGAATGTCATTAGCACTTTTGTAATTAAAAAGAAGAATCAAATTTGATGAAAACAAATACTTTGGCAGTGTTAGTTCAATAGACAGTTTTGCTTCAGCTATGCGTGAAAAATAATAACCATTAGCCATCTAATTCTAATTCAGTTGAATGATCGTTTTCACAAAGAACCTCCTTGTTTTCATGTCCTTAGTTTATCGACCTATGTAACTGTTGTGCATAATCTTGGTTCATCCAGACTAGACTGGTTATTACGTTCTATGTATGTTGTGTACTTGACTAGGATGCGGATTCCGATTTGTGTTTATTTTTGATGCTAAATTGGTGATACTTGAATTCATTTTAGCGTTGTTCTATATTCGATGGCTGTTGCTCAAATGCTCAAAACTCAGGTTTTATCGTATTCGACACAATTCTATAAAGTGTGATAACGATCTTGAAGGAGCTACTACTCGTCATGTAATCCAAACTAAGATCACTCACATTTGCAACATGGGCTATTATGTTACTCGAAACACAACTACTCTCTAACAGAAAGGATTCATACTTATTCACTGATCAATGCTTTTTGGTGCTATATTCGTCTGGTACTTGAAGGCTATAAGACTTCTGTCAATCACGTATTATATGTGTACCACTGCACATTGCTCTAACCACTCAAATCCATCAACTTGAGTGGATCACATAAGCATTAATCATCAATTTCGCTTTATTTTATCGTTCACAATTCATAGTTGAATGGGAATCAATCAGAATTTCTGTTCAATCATGATTATGCTATGTTTTGTGCAAATTCGAATTATCATATAATGAATGGGATCGTGAATTCGTTCGTTTGATTCTTATTTGCAAGTGCTAACATGTTTTCAAGCGACAAACACCAACACATCAAATTACATGTGTATTTTGTAACTCGCATCACTCTATTTCGTTGCATAAATATTCTCTCAAACTTTCATGCTACTGATTGTCGTGTTAGTAGTATGGTGGTTAGGTAAAATGCAATGTGGTTTTCTCACATGCATGAACGTACTGTAATTATGATGGATTGCTGTACGTCCTATCAAATCTATTCAAAGACATATTGTTCGGTTTCAGTTGACGAATTGTGAAATTTGAAAGTCTCTTCATGTGTTCACGGTTGACCAATATTATTCAATTCCAACTGTTATCATAGGTGATGTGATCAACTAGATTTCTCCAAGACCTTTTATTGATATAAAGTGTATGAAAATTCTACGTCCTCCACAAAACCATTCACTGATAGTTTATTATTGTTTAGAGGAAATTCTATGAGCAGAAATAGAGTGGTTGGTTAATATCCTTATTGTTTAATTGTTTTGCTGCCAATTTTCAACGGATATGTTACCCCATGATCATGATTGTAAACTAACCTGATATGCAACGTTACACTGAATCTAGTCAAAGAAATCAATTGAACGAGTAGATGCAAATGAAAGTAGCCACGGTCTATCATTTTATGTCATTCAGATCGTGTATAAATGAGTCCTTCTGTCAAGCAAGAGTTTATCCCATCCACTAGTATGCATGGTGTTTGATAACACTTATCATAACAAAATGAACATATCAGTATTTCAAACTGAATTATTCATCC